GTCTTATGCGGGAAAGAAAGCTCTGTCCTCAAAGTGTTTACTTGAAGAGAGCCAGGGAAGTATAACTTAGCGGTTTGAATCCGTAACTTAATTGGCGGCTAAGTCTTAATTTTTCAGCTAGTGTAATCAGATTGACATGGGATAAGGGAGGGCTTTAACGCCGAGAGAAGGAGCCTTAAGATAAATGTTCGTAGGATAACAGAAGATCGAGTAAAGAAGTTGCAACTGAGTTTACCTTCCTCTCCTTATATATAGGCTTCATTCAAGTGTGATTTAGATATTTACAGACCCGAGGTATCAGTCTGTTCTCCGGGATACTGAATGTTTCGTGCCAACCTAGATGTTTAATTTGCTGATAAACAAATAAGGACGCCACATGCACCTTAACGTAAAATATAAATGTGAAATGTGTGTTTTAAACCATAACCAGTCATTTAAACAAGCAAAAAGAAGAGATTTCTTAGGAATAAATCCATGAAGAAATATTGTATTGAAGTAATGTATTTATGAAATGGTGCATTACAATAAGCAAAAACAGGAGAAATTTATCTTAAGAACAAAGGCAAACAAAGACACATCATTTCCTTTCAATGTTTTCAGCTATGAGATGGATTAAATTTGCTTCGCGATCTGCAGCTTTTCCCTGCGAACTTGCGAACCCGTCCCGCATAAGAGAGTATTAGGTCAAAAAAGGCATTTGCTTTCAGAGTCAAAGGAATATTTTTGATGACATCCTACATCGTGGTGTTTGGGAATCAAACATTTGGTCTTTCTTGACAGTGCATTAGAGGACGGATTTTCTTAACAATGTATAAAAGCATTTCTCACTTAAACAAAGCGAAGTTTTGAGTAGCTGTCATTTCTGGACCTCATTTTGCTCCCACTTAACTCCACTCAGCTATTGTTGCGCGACATTAAAATGAAGAAGTTCTAAAACTTCCAAGTAATGTAACAGCCGCGTAGATTGAAGATTCTCCTGGCCAGGTAAGGCTGTATAGAAAGAAATGTGTGGACCAAAAACTGAAAAGTCATTTGATTAAACTGCTTTTTTCAGCTAATCGGAGTCACCCTAAAACTCGAATGTGAACAAAAGACGAAACGAGATGCTATTTCACAAACGCTGGAATTAGTTAGAACAAGAACGACAAAAAAGCAAATATCCATGCAACAACTAAAATTCGTTTGAGATGTTTTTGTAAATGCAGAATTTAACAAAAACAATGCGCCAAAGATTAGTTCAAGTATAAAGTATAGCGTTTTGTGAAGCCTGCCTAAATACAGATAACATGTTATCTTGCATAGATGTAATTTGGCTAAATTTCCGCCATTGTCTTAAGAATCTCGTTGGGAGATGAACGTGGCCGCATCTCCCGAACAGTGGCTAATGTGAGATGTTCTCCGACACAACATAACATGAGAAAATTGGGACGAAGCCTAATTGTAACTAGCTTTTCGATACCGCGACAACTTAAGAACTTAACTGAGATCTTGCTAAAGGAAAGCCTCAGCCACAGATTTCAAACTTGTTTGTGTATGATTGTGTATTTTCGAAAAAGTTACTGAACAACAGATATGTTCTCTTAAAGCGGCGAAGGTAACTCACTCAGCGAATGTTAAAAAGTGCACTCATTTTCTAGATAGCTTGAAAGACCATATTCATTTTTCTTCTCAGCCGTGGCCATTCCTAGTAAACTGTTGCTTCTATTACTGCGATGAATTTCTCGCATGTTTTGGTCTGCTTCTTTTAAGTTTTGCGGGCATTCATCTCCCTTACGTTTCCAAGTTTAAAGCATACCATCCACAATCTAGTTTAGAACTCTGTTTCTTTTCCTGTCTTTACTTCCTTCCGCACTAAAAAAAAAAAAAAAAATTAATTTTTAAAACTTGGCTCTGTGAAGAAGTCAGTGGCACAGATAAACTGGTTTACCTTTCAGTTAATATAAGATGTTCAAAACTGGAAGCTGAAGGGGTTAGTTAAACACAAGTTTTCAGTCGTTCATTTAGGATACGGACATCAAATGCAAAATTTTTTTCCGCTAGAATAGCACACAATGTCAGTTAATGAAATTAAAAACTGTACTTGAGCTAATATTTCTAACAGGTTGGGTAGGAACAATGTACATGAATTTCCGGACAACATTAAGTTACGACATCCCGATTGAATCTTTGGGCCTCTTTGCCCTTGGAAAAAAAAAATCGTTGAGTATATTTCAAGGACAACATGAGCAATTTCTTTGTTTCATTGTCGAAGACCATGGTAATGTTTCGAAAGCAAAAATACAAAACAATCTGGATATATCAACAAAGTTGAAATGGTAAATTGGCCACCGTAACGATTACAAAAGTTGACGTTTCGAGCGTTAACCCTTCGTCATTCGCTCCGACGAAGGGCTAACGCTCGAAACGTCAGCCTTTGTAATCGTTACTGTGGCCAATTTACCATTTCAACTTTGTTGATATATCCAAATTATTTCGTTACCCCCACCGACGCAGCCCCAAACAGTTTCTTTAGAAACTATCAGCCTTTATTAAAAAAAACAAAACCTCTGGTTAATTACACAAATTATATATATCTACTTCCTTGTCACGGCAAAATAACGCTGTCTTTTCTTTCGAAGACCTCAGACAGAAGAAACGTTATCGAACACGATTTGTCACTAGGCGACTTTTCGTGGATGTCTGCTGTACATCCGGCGCGTTCCGAGATGGAACAGAACCTGGAAGTGATACGATCTCCAGACGATGATAAAATCTACTTCCGAACAACGAGAGACATATCGTCTGGCGAAGAGTTTCAAGTGTGGCTGGCTCCGTCTTTGGAGGAAGAACTTGGACTGCAGAACGTTGAAAAGGAGGAATTTGAAGGTTAATAACTTTGCTTTTTTAAAATGCCAATATTTTCTCTCCTGTCTTATGCGGGAAAGAAAGCTCTGTCCTCAAAGTGTTTACTTGAAGAGAGCCAGGGAAGTATAACTTAGCGGTTTGAATCCGTAACTTAATTGGCGGCTAAGTCTTAATTTTTCAGCTAGTGTAATCAGATTGACATGGGATAAGGGAGGGCTTTAACGCCGAGAGAAGGAGCCTTAAGATAAATGTTCGTATGATAACAGAAGATCGAGTAAAGAAGTTGCAACTGAATTTTCCTTCCTCTCCTTATATATAGGCTTCATTCAAGTGTGATTTAGATATTTACAGACCCGAGGTATGAGTCTGTTCTCCCGGATACTGAATGTTTCGTGCCAACCTAGATGTTTAATTTGCTGATAAACAAATAAGGGCGCCACATGAAATGTGCACTTAAGTAGCAACACACATGGCACATGAGTTTTACAGAAATTGGTTGCCTCTGACTGTTGTTATTTCTGAAACAAACGTTTCGGCTAAAGCTTAAGCCTTCATCAGTGATATCACTGATGGAGGCTTAAGCCTTCATCAGTGATATCATATCACTGATGAAGGCTTAAGCATTAGCTGAAACGTCTGTTTCAGAAATAACAAAAGTCAGAGGCAACCAATTTCTATAAAACTCATGACATCTCCTGACTACACTTTTTCCATTTTTAAACACACATGGCACATGGTTGCATGCATAAAAGGCTCATCGACAACCGCGATATTTAACCGTTCTCACCGTGATACTCCATTTTCTCAACTTTGCGAAGTCCATCACTATTTTTTCATGCATAGTCAGCGATATCTTTGTATCCTTTCAGCTATTTTCTACTTTTCGTACCCTCAATAACTCGAACTGGATATAATTTCGTTTTAAGGTTCAAGTCATCGAGGATCATCTGTATTTTGAGGTAATTATATTTTTCTCACTTGAATCAATTTATCTTGCAGACAGTCAATGGATCTGCGGTTTCTGCAAAAAGATCTTTCGATGTTCTAAAGCTCTTTCCGTTCATCAAAGTTATCAATGCAAGGAACTGGGTTCCAGCGTCACCTTACGGAAAGAAAACAGTGTGAAGACTGTGGACAGCGAAGGTGATGAAGATTTAGAAGATGAAGAAGAAGGGGGAGAAGAAGAAGAAGAAGAAGAAGAAGAAGGAGACGAAGAAGGGGATGGTGATTATGATGAGGACGATTTGCTGAATAGAAATTCACCCAAGCAATCCCTGAAAATTAAACAAAACTCGCAGCATCAAGAGGAAAAATCGAAGTCGAGGAAACGAACTGACGATCGAAGTCATTCGAGTGCGGACAATAGCCAGCGGAGATGTTTGGTGGGAGCAAGTGCTCCGATGATAACCGAGGAAACGTCGGTCGCTTTCGGGAATGGTCGTGTCTTGTCGAATCCAGCGTTAGAGAGTCTAATTTCGAGTTTTACACCGCCTCCCTTGCGAAAGTTTTTGAACGAACCTCAGTCGTTGGCTGAGTATCATAAGCAAGAATTCCGAAAGAAGTTTCAAGGAAACGAACACTATCTTCGCAGGCATCTTTATCGTGAAAATATGGAAAGGAAATTAGCTTCCGCCAAACATCGGCGCTTATTAGTGAGAAAAGATGACGAATATTCATTAAAAAGAGACAAAGACAGGCTAAGTGTAAAAAGAGAGGAAGGTAATCTTATAAACTGTTTTCAAGAAAGTTATATCCAAGATTTGCATAAACGTAGCACCATTCTACCAACATTTCCAGAAGGAGAAATTTTCAGGAACCCGATTGTTAAGAGTACTTCTGGTCAATTTAACTTGCGGGATGGAAATTTCCCATTAAATGTGTCAGCTTTTAAAAATTATTCCAATATCAGGAGCTCAGTAGGACCAAAGGAACTGACAAATAACAACAGGGTTTCTGTAGCAAACGGAAATGATGTTCTGCGGCGCGGGGATGAGGTTTATTTGCCAAGTGAAGCAGATCGCGAATGCACTTGTGAACATAACAACGACGCTCAGGACATTTCACAGCAAAAAAAAAGCTCAGCTGTGAGCGATGAAACGACGAAAACTAGAGGGAACGAGGAAAACAGCACGGTGTCATACAGCGAACAGCTGGATCAAACAATTCACCGGCCAGACCACCAAAGCAGAAGACAAGAATCAGTACGTAATAGCTACACTCGACTAGGCTCCTATTTTATTCACCAGGGAATGCAGCCGCCTGATAATGCACCTCTTCGGCATCGAATGCAATGCCAATGTTACTCATCTCCGGTACCATGTGAGCCAACTGACAATATCGCCAGGCGCTTTTACGACCCCGCGTTCTTCGTGGATCAGAGGTACGGCTATTCCAACTATTCGCGCATGTTCCCATTCTTTGCGCACCACGCCAGCAATTTGCCTCAGGCTTCCCAGCGAAACCAAGGTTTCACGTGCGATTACTGCGGAAAGGTGTACTGCAGGAAGTATGTACTGAAAATCCACATGCGCACGCATACGGGTTTCAAGCCTTTGCGGTGTAAAGTGTGCGACAAGTCGTTCAGTGATCCAAGTAATATGAAGAAACACGTGAAATTACACGAGACGGAGGACACTGTACACAAATGCAGATATTGTGGCAGGAACTTTGTACGGTATAGGGGTCTGTTGAATCATATCAAATCAAAGCATTCTGAACAAATATCTCTTTAACCTTATGACTACAGAAGTTTCTAGAATCATTAATCCTAGCTGACAAAGACTTTTGTGCGATTGGTTTAAAAGTGTCACATTACCTTATAGGCCCCTGCTAAATTTGAGGAATATCAGGTAATATTCCTTAGGTGATATTCCCCAATTGAGAGACCTTATACCCTTATATCTTTGTTCAAAGTTAACTAGAGATAATCGGGAGTTTTGCTGTTATTACAAAAAAAAGAAGAGACAAACGTGTTTGGTTATTAGTTCAACAAGGAAACGCGTTAAATCACCATTCCATGAATAAGAGTTTTTTGACGTTGCGCTGTTTATTACGCGCGCGGCAAAATCATTTAAAGAATGATACATACTGAAGCTCAGTTTTTTCGCTCCTGCGAAGTTGTTAGCTCCACGGAAGGACACTTTCCACAGATAAAAATTCAAGCATAATTTCAGTCGCACCAAATAGAGGCTTTTATTTGTGAACTGCTCTTGAAAAATATCAGTTGATTACCGAGTGAGTAGATGATGAGGTTAAGTAGCTTACTCGACAAAACTCTAAATCGTATTAAAGGAATTGACAAAGAGGAATAGGGGAGCATAAGGCAAATCTTCCCGTGGACTTGTGGGTAACAACAATTAACCAAAGGTCGACCTCGGTTAGGTTCTTAGGTAACAAATAAAAAAAAAAACCGGTACGTATCCGTGACTGGGTTTATCCAGACCGTAGTATATTTAGCTCTAACTCCTTACATTAAGACCTCGAGTTGATAATTTTTCTTCTCGATCGATATGCACCTGGTAATTACGGTGGAAAATTCTCTTCTAAATATCATTTGGAAGGACTGATTATCAGAAATGTCAATTTATGGAGTAGTTTACTCTCGTAGAGCTTATCGTGCAGGGTGATTTGTATCATTATCAGTACACTTGGACCTGACACGTTTTCGCTGATCTTATTGATTGGCCTCTAGTAAAAAAAAAAGTTACATGTTTTTAACAACAATTATAATTGTATACAATATCAAAGCATGTCCTTGATTTGGAAAAATAACTTTAAATTTTGTAACAGCTACTTGGAAATGAAATCACCAAAATAATTTCTCAGGAGAAATTTCGAAACACATGATGTAACTCCTGCAAAATTTTCCTTCTACAAGGTCTATAAGATATTCGGGAAATTAACGTCGAGTGTACAAGCACACGTTCACCACATAGGGCAGTTCTGTTTAGACCTCCTGGGTGTAAAACTGCTTGTTATTACATCTTACACACATTTGTGAGGTATTTGAAGTATCTGTGGTACTGTATACAGACTAAATAAAATGAGGTGAAATTGATATCGCATCAAAATACATTTCTCCATCATCAAAGAGTTGTAACGAAGTGCGCTTACTGGAGAAACATCGAAAAGGAGAGATAAGACGTTATGTTCCTAAAGGCATCCATAGAATTCTTCTAGACTTCCTTACTTCAAAAACTGATTATCTTAGGTCAGTGCAGTCTGGTGACTAAATTTGTGAGGTCACAGGTGGTGTTTTGACCCAGAGAAGGCTGGGCCTTTTCTAACTCTGTAGACTTTAAACGATGTAATTGAACCTTTCAAATGAGAGTTCTCTATTACCATTCTCTGTAATGAAAATTAATTGACAAAAAACACGTGATAAGCTCTTTTTGTGTCTGAAATACTTGGAAGTCCGAAGCGCTTTGACGTTATCGGCTGTTGTGTTTATGCATACCAGTGTAAACTGTTTGCTGTAGATCAGTGCGTGTGTCGAACGGTCTTTGTTCACTTTTAATTACTTTCACAAAGCGTCATTTGATCAGCGGAAAAGTCACTAATTTACATTTTCAGTTTCACGCCGAGGGAAGAGAAAACCCGAGTCATGATACGGATTTAGGACGGGTAACATGTGATCTTTACACTTTCTAAATACACGGCTGAAACGCATCTTTTCTTCGAACCATTCACGTCTGCGGCTTGGGGGAAAAATTTAAGGTAAGTTGTGCATGATGTCTGTTCCAGTGGAAATGAGTTCCTTATTTGATAAGCTTGGTACAATAAAGAATTGTCGGTTTGTGGTGCGTTTCAGCGGTTAATGTGATGACGAAGATGTTACGATCTTTAAACAATTCATTTAAAATTCCATCGTTGACTCGTTTGTTCCGTCGTGATTCTCTCTCAGTCGATGTGAGCCTTTGATTTCTTTCTTTATCGGCAAGAGAAATGTTAGCATTACCATTTCAACCCAAACGGCAACCTTATAATTAAGTTAGTGTCGCCATAATCAGCTCCTAGGGTTGAAATAACACTGGAATTCCTGATCTCTCGGCTGTCTCTAATCAACAACCTACAAAAAATCAATCGACTTATTTGGTTAGTCATTTCTACAACGAAAGAAGCGTGGGATTCGTTTTTGGGAACAATAATTGATAGAAACCGGAGGTCATTCGTAAAAAACACAAAATGCAAACAAATTGGCTCTCTTGTTTAAAGAACGCAGGCATCTTAAGTTTCAAGTAGATTCTTAAGAGGTATCGTTGTTTAGACCTTTTGGATGAACGTGACATAAAGACACATCTTTTATTGCCAACAAACGCAATGAAGAAAAAGAGTATCAACTAGGGAAGCGCTCACCACGAGCGGCGGCGAGGCAGTAGGAGCAAACAAGTTATTTACAATTGATCACCTATTATTACATTGAATCATGATCGTCTGCTTTGCATTGGTGAATTTACAATTCCGCTCTGAGTGTCTTTTTCGAAATCTAAAACTTTCTTAATCCGTGGCATTTATTGATGAAAGTCCCTCAAGAGGTTTATCATGTAAAGTACTCATCTCTCCGATAAACAGAGAGAGACAGATCGATTTTAAATTTCAGGAATGATAGATGTGCTCAACTTGATTATGCGGCACTCGAATAGAGAGATTTGTGGTTGAATTTGGGCCGGGGGGGAATTACTCACTTATAAGGGCTTAATGGAGACGTGCGGCCAGCCAGGGTATGTTTTTCGAGATTTTTGTCTTAAACAGGGTATCGAATCTATCATTTTTTGTCTTAATCAGGGTATCGATTTATCACTTTTTGTCTTAAACAGGATATCTTTCCTTGGAAGATAAACAGCATAATTTTTATAAGCTCTAATTTTAATATTAATATTGAATTCCGTTTATTTTGGCATTGATACCAGTCACATTAAATGTCTTAAACAGGCTATCAAAAATCGGAATTCTGTCTTAAACAGGGTAGGAAAATCAGCGATATTTGTCTTAAACAGGGTCAGGGTATGAGGGGCCGCGCCGCACCTCCCCAGCCAGGAATATATCGAGTACCCCCCGGAATTCGGGGTTGCTGGGCTCATTGCATTGCATTGTACCTAATTCTTGTGTCACAATCTTTCCTCCTTTGCGCAAATAGTACCGATCGTTAACTGAACCGTGCTTGCTCGCGAAAAAAAATAATTCACATGTGTAAAGTAAAATTTTATCAGACGGAATTTAGAGTGTAGTTTAGGAATTCAGCTGTACACGTTGTAAAAGCCTTCTCTTATCGCTCATCACTGTAATAGAGTTTTCGAGATTGATTTCACAAATTAGAGGATTTACGACACTGTTGGAACCTATTAAAAAATTCATTTTAAATTTTCTAAGCTCGTTTTTTATAGTCTGTGTAAATCTTTGACCTCCAAAAATACCTCGCTCATTTCTGATATTTTATTCGCATCATGATTTTAGTTTTATGCTAGCGCGAAAGTAATATTTAGTGTTCTCTGTCAAGTTGAAGGAAATTCTGGATGTCGCAGGAAACTACTCAAAATATGAAGACACAGTCCTTCAAACCCTTGAGACGAAAGTGGTATATTTATGGACCAGACTGTTACAGTCACGAAAATACCGGCCGCTCTTTTTTCGTTCCTTTATCCTGTCGTCAGAGAAAATTATCTGTGTATGTTTCATCACAGTACAGATGTTCTTAATGAAATATCTAGTGCGGTCAGAGGGATCAAGGGAACACCAGTTAAGAATCTGATCGAAAACATCCGCGTTACCTGAGTTTTTTCTATTTCACCCAACTTGATCAAAGGTTCAAGTATTTGTGCTGATTGAGTTGTACTGAATTTCATTTTCAATGATGGAGAAAAAAACTACATTATGATGTAAACGGCATTTCTATTTATTGATATGTGCAGAACCCTCCGAAGAGGAAAAGCCAAACGGTTTGTTTCATCGGGTTTTTGGCCCTCCTTGTGGCAACAGCTGTTACCTTTTCTTGATTTCTCTGTTTGCCATATTTTGACACATTCGTGTTCTTTCGAGCATGGAATGGTCAACTGAATTCGCGGAGTCGGAGTGGACGGTTCCAGGAATAAAAAGAATTGTGTTGGATTACTTGAATTCTCTAGGTCCTAAATAGTAACAACCGAACAGGATAGATTTATACAAATCATGTGTGATTCTGAACGTTATCAGCTTAAACCTTAGCCTCAGGGCACACGAGAGTTAGCCGGTTAGTTTTTTTTTCATTATTCTCAAATCGGATCAAAATCTGTCGGGAGATTATCTCAAGACATAACATAGTATGTAAGTGAGTTCAGTATAACCCCAGTTAAATTGCAGATTCTTCTGAACAGAGAAGTTTCGCTTACAATAACAGAAAGGTTACCGGTATCTGTGTGGTGCAACGAAAATTATTAAAAACTAGATCAATGGATAATGCAATTCAAGACTTTTTATTGGCTTAGCCATTATGGTATATCAGCCAATATACCATAATCTAAAAATATGGTAAGCGTACGTGTCAGCTTAAAATTAAAAGAGAGCTAAAAATTTAATGAAATTTAATAATTTCATTTAACGTTTTTAATAAAACAATTATTCCACTCGCGCTTGTTTGATATGAGATGATAGATAGCCTACTCGGCGCTACGCGCCTCGTTGGCTATCTATCATCTCATATCCAACTAGCGCGAGTGGAATAATTATTAATTCGCCCTGTATTGTAAGAATGCTCGTTGGATGAACGGTGGCTGTCGTAAACTTGCGAACTATGACAAGATTAAGCCTAAAACTAGCATATGAAATGCGAATTTTTGAAAATAAAATTAAGCGGAATAAGGAATTAATTAGAAATAGATCCTAGATCAGCCGAAAATTTTAATCGAGACTACAGATTCTGTTCGTTTTGAAGCTCGAATTGTGGAGAAGTTCGTTCCTTTGTCAGGATGAAGGTTTTATTATTTTTTTGTCGACTTATTTTTACACTTTGCATCAGTTACTTTGCAAGTCTATTTCCCGTACGTCAGCAAAGGCAGAAAACTTGGGATAAAACTTAGATACAGAAGAAGAAAAGCAAAACATACATATGTACATTCATACGCAGGTAGGTTACATCACGGAAAGTTTTAAAGTAACTCTACTGTCGGCCAAAAACAGATATGCATATCGGCCAATTTGCGTACACTTACTAACCATCCCCCTTCCCCCAAATACCTTTAACCCAAGTTCGTTTAAAAACTGAATTTAACGATTTGCAACACGCATGTAGGTGTTCCACTGTCATTCTTCATATTGTCTTATGATTTTGGCCCTGAGGATCTAGCGCTAAAACCTTAACTCTGCAGATCTAAATAGTTATTCTCCTGACCGACTGGATATATATCCTTGCAAATTAGACAGGAGAAGTCCACTTTAAATCAAGATAACACCTTTCAGCTGACAAGCTTCTCTGTTCTCATTACATGTTTGCAAGATGATGTATGCTAAATACGATGAGAAGTCACAAGTTAATCAATTCTGGGGGTTAAATGGTTAAATTCTTCTCAGCACCTGAATGAGACAAATGTTACTGAGTTTCTTTGGATCGTCACGAAATAGCAGCTAGCTGCAGTGCTTATTTGGGACACGTTGAAATGACCAATGCAATTATAGTTCCACGCTCTCCTGTTCAAAATATTGGAATCTGTTTTGACTCAAACTGATCTATGGTAGACTATATCACTAGAACTAATCATACAGGGTTTTATCATCACTGGAAAAATTAAAAGTTACCTAACTAAAGAACACTAAGAAACTCTTAAACATGCTTTTATATCAAGCTACCTCGACAACTATCACAACTCCCAAATGACCCCTACATAAAGTAAGGAAAGTTCAGGATGTCGCTGTGCGCCCGATATTCTAGGACTCCTGCTTTGAGAGCAGATCTTGTCAGACCACAATTCTTGCTCAAGTCATTGCAATGACTGTCTGTAAAATATCGTATAGCTGTTAAAATTCCGTCAAGGGCGTTCCGCACCATACACG